GAAATACCACATTGACAAATGAATGTAGCACTAAAAATAAGTAGAATTATTGGCGTTTTTGCCCTTCTTAGGCACCTCGCTCCTCTTACTACTCAATTAAGTATTTATCGCTCTTTGATACTACCCTACCTGTCCTATGGTTTGGCTGCTTGGGGTGAAGCTGCTAAATCCCATCTACAAAAAATACTCATGCTGCAAAGACTTGTCCTTGGGTTGATGTATTTTTCTCAACCCAGAGTGCATGCGGCGCCTTGATTTTGGAACTCCATTTGCAATATACTCCGTCAAAAACAAGGCCAAGGATGAATATGATCAAGTGCCCATTCTCCTTACAAATGTAGCGAACCAAACAGTTAAATTTATGCAGTAGAAATAGCTTAATGTAGTTTCGCAGTTATTTACCAGTATCTGTTACGAGTGGTTGATTTTGTAAATGTTGTTTATTTACATTTAAGCTTTATTTACTTATTCATGTATTTATTTGTAATTGTTCCCTGACTCTTGTACCCCTGTCTCCCCACCCATGTCGACTAGAACCTGCTATTTGCGGAAATGGACTTCATGTAAATGTTTGTTAATAAAATGTGTGTACTTGTACTTAAAGTGACTGTGTGTACTTGTACTTATGATACATGTACAGTTTGAAAGAGATGGCTCAGTTTTTTTCAGTAATGGTTTCACATCGGTGATTTGATTGATTGTTTGATTTCTACCATTTATTAATTCCCCTTTAGTTTGTAGTAATGGACATTGCAGTGTGGCCATTTAGAGTAGTTTTGATCACTGACTGTGAAAATCTGATGCACATTTATTATGCCTTACATTTCAATCTCTAAATACTTTTCACAGGTTTTAAGGCTTGCAAGCCAAGGATTGTACAGTAGTGTTTCAACTAATCAACAAGCAGTCAACTTGATAACAACAGACACACAGATCTTTGATCAAGTATGGCATGAAATGTGTTTAGTTAATGGTTTTAAAATCTGTTTCTTTTTGTGTATGTGCCTCTATTTTTAGTTATAAATATTTTTCTGCTCAAGATGAATACACAAGTAGGTTGAGCGTGATCTTCCGGGTAAATGTAGTCATAAATAGGACTGTTGTTGACAGTAACTAACGTTTCGACTAACCTGTCCGGCAGTCATCATCTTCAGAGTCAAAGTGAGTTGTATCATATGTCAGTTGATGGTATTAAACTCTAGTCATTGCTTTGATTATTCAATTAAGTGGTGATGTTATTGGTTGTCTGTCATTTAAACTGTGATGTAATTGGCTATGAAGACTGGGAATGTCATTGGTGCATTTTGATTGTCT